ATACAGTTACAGCAGTTCCTAGAGGAAAATATATAACATTAAATGCTTATGTTAAAAAATAAAAATGGTCTCAAATACACAATCTAACCTTTGACCTTGGGAAATGAGAGAAAGAAAAGCAAATCAAACCCAAGCAAGCAAAGGGAAGAAAATAACAGGAATAAGAGCATAAACCTGGTAAACTGAAAACAAACAGAGGTAATCAATGAAACCAGCAACTGGCTTTTTGAGATGATGGACAAAATGTATAAACCTTGAGCCAAAGTAATCAAGAAAAAAAAGAGAGAAGACACAAAATACTAACATCAGGGATGAAAGGAGCGGGATTGTTGTAGATCTTACAGACATGAAAAGATCAAAAGATTATAACATTATTAACAAAAAGTCTGAAAAAGGTAAAATAGATGCAGTTCTTCAAAGACACAATCTACAAAACTCACTTAAGAGGAGAAGATGACGGGAATAGTCCTGCATGTGTAAAAAGAATTGGAATTTGCCATTAAAAATCTGCTTACAGAGGAAACTCCAGATCCAGATGCTCCACTGGTAAATTCTGCCAAATCCTGAAGAAAGAAATTATTGCAACCGTGCACATACCATTTCAGAAAATGGAAATGGAAGGAATATTTCCCAAACTGCTTGATGAAGTCAGCATTACCCTAATATCAATCTAGACAAAACCCTTAAAGAAAACTACAAATCGACAACCAAAACCAATTCAAATGTCAGCAGCTGGTGAATGAATAAACAAGTCGTGCAAGAAGTCAGGCATAAAAGGTAACATTCTGTATAATTTCATTTATGTGACATTTTGGAAGAGGCAAAACAAATACGTCAGATTACAATGGTGGCTGGGATTGAATTGAGAAAAGGGGATTGACTACATAAAGGTCACAAAAGGACTTTATGTGGTAATTGAAAAATTATGTCTTGGTTGTGGTGACATTACATGTGTGCATTTGGCAAACTCATCAGACTATACACCTCAAAAGGGTGACTTTTACTGTACTGCATGTGAATTATTCCATTATTCCTCAAGTAGCCTTACTGACTTAGAAAACCTCTCCAAAAAAATCAATTAGTTAAAAAAAAAAATCGGGGGTGAAGAAAATCTCTCCAGGGAATTCCCACTGCTTTCAGGAGAAGTCTAAACTCCTTGCTGCAGTCTATTAGGATCTATTCTTTACATGTTTCTACAACTTTATGCTTTTGAAGAACATTTAATGAGATGAAGGGAAAAAAAATCTCATAATAGACTATTAAGTGAAAAATGGTATATTCAAATCAGCTTTTACAGTGAGATATCAACTTTGTATTGGATGTACACAAATATGTACAGAGCAATACCTACTGGCAGGAAACACACCAGAGTAACAGCTTCCTTTGGGAAGTACACTTCATGATTTTTATCATCCTCTCTGCTTTGCTTTTGTGTGCTTTCCACATGTTGCAATGAATTTAATATTAAAGTATTTATTTTCCTGACTTATTACTACTCCTGCTGTTATTATAATCTTTTGATCATGGCCTTGGCTTTTAGTGGAAAGGTCCATAATCTTTTAGTGGAAAGGTCCATAATCTTTTAGTGGAATGGTCCATAATCTTTTAGTGGAAAGGTCCATAATCTTTTAGTGGAAAGGTCCAAACTCTTTTAGTGGAAAGGTCCATAATCTTTTAGTGGAAAGGTCCATAATCTTTTAGTGGAATGGTCCATAATCTTTTAGTGGAAAGGTCCATAATCTTTAGCTTTTTCTCTCCTGGGGCTCCTCTTCCTTCTCCTTTCCTCTGGTTCTTTCCCACTAGCCCACAGCACTCACCTCCCTTCACCAAAAGCTTCTGGAGCTCCAGGGCAAACCCTAAAGATATATTTGTGTTTGAATTGATGTGCTTTTAAGGTTGACATTTCTAGGAACTCCAGAGGGCAGGCAGCGAGCAGATGGGTGGATGTGGGGTTCTGGCCTGGCAGAGGCAGTTGCAACCTGCCACACTGGGGATCTTTGTAGGTAACAGATTGGGGAATAAGTGAAGCCTTGACCAATACCATGAAGTTACTTTGTGTATCTTACATCTGTTTTTTAATCAATGTCTTAAAAGAATAATATTTGTTGGAATATGTGACTTTGCAAGTAAAGTTGCTACGGAGTTTATTGCTGTTTTCCAGCACCTAGAACAATGGAGGCATTAACCTAGCAGCAATAACCTAGCAACTGTTCAATAAATACTTATTGAATGCAATGGATGGATGAACAAATGAACACACAAATGAATAGGAGTGGAGGCAGTGAAGAGAAATTAGACTCAGGGAGGTTGAGGCGTGAACAGGAGTTGAGGAAGTTGACAAAGGAAATGAGGATCATTGTTCAGAAAACTTTCCGAAAGAGAAGAGAGATTGGCCAATAGCTAAAGGACAGAGAACCGAGAGAAGTTTTTGCTTGATTTGTTTAGGATAGGCAGGACTTCATCATGTTCATAATCTGAAGAGAATGAGCCATCAAAGAAAGATCAGAGATTATGAGAGAGGCGATTACTGATGAAGCAGGGTCCCAGGGGATGGCAGGAAATTAGGTGGAAAGCTTGGTAGGAATGTTGATAGCAGGAGAGGCTCCCCAGCCTCTTCAGACTAGAGATCAGTGCAGACTCACAGGAGCCAGTAGGAACGGGAGAGGGGATTTGACAAATTGTTTAGGTGAAGTAGGAGGTGAGGGCATCTGCTAAGAGGACTGAGTGAGTAATGAGCGAAGAATTGGTAAGAACAAGGAGACAGCTTAACAAAGAGAAGCATAAAAACTCAATGGGGTTGGGTGTGGTGGCTCATGCCTGTAATCCCAGCACTTTGGGAGGCCAAGGAGGGTGGATCACCTGAGGTCGGGAGTTCAAGACCAGCCTGGCCAACATGGTGAAACCCCGTCTCTACTAAAAATACAAAGAATTAGCCAAGCATGGTGGTGGACACCTGTAATCCCAGCTACTCTGGAGGCTGAGGCAGGAGAATCGCTTGAACTCGAACGGCAGAGGTTACAGTGAGCCAAGATCGCACCATTGCACCCCAGCCTGGGCAACAAGAGTGAAACCCTGTCTCAAAAACAAAAAACCAAAAACTGAATGGCAGCCCTGAGGGCCCAATTTAGCCCAGAAGTGTGAATTTGTGGCCATCCACTTGACATAGCTGTGTGGGCTTTTCCAAGAGTTCACTACCACCTGAAGGCAGATGGGTTAGGGTGGGATTGATCCCAGGTTGGGAGTTTGCAAGAGGCATAAGGACAAGAGGCTGGGGAGCAGGGGATACGACAGAGGAAATTCAAGCTGTACCTCTGAGAACCCAGCTCATGGTCTGACTCCCAGACCACCAAAATCGTTACCAGAGTGGTGTCTAGGAAACTTGATTCCTGTGTCCCCTGCAAATTCAAAGACAACTCAAACCAAGGGGAGCGCCAGTGATATTGAGAATCCATTACTTTTCCTTTGGTCTCACTGTTAAATTTAATCCTAATTCTCCAATAACATTGGTTATAAATTTGCTGCTGCCTTGTTATGAAATATGAATATGACTCATCTGAACTTGAGTTCCACTTCTTGACGTACATACCAATTGAAGTAATGAGAAAAGCAGCAAGTCAAATTCCTTTCTAATAAGCATTTGTGAAGTCTTAACTAATATATAAGGTGAGATGGTCCAATAAAGAAGGCCTTATCATAGCTGGTGAAGTTGGTAACTTCTAAGAGACTACTTTTTACAATTAATAGCAACGCAGAGATAGTTTGGCACAGTGAAAAGAATTCAACCTGAGGAAGCTGTAAATAAAATTTTTTTTAAATATTAAAAAAATATATTTTAAATAAAATATAAAAGAAGGCCGGGCGCGGTGGCTCAAGCCTGTAATCCCAGCACTTTGGGAGGCCGAGGCGGGTGGATCACGAGGTCAACAGATCGAGACCATCTTGGTCAACATGGTGAAACCCCGTCTCTACTAAAATTACAAAAAATTAGCTGGGCACGGCAGTGCGTGCCTGTAATCCCAGCTGCTCAGGAGGCTGAGGCAGGAGAATTGCCTGAACCCAGGAGGCGGAGACTGCGATGAGCCGAGATCGCGCCATTGCACTCCAGCCTGGGTAACAAGAGCGAAACTCCGTCTCAAAAAAAAAAAAAAAGAAAGAAAGAAAACAGTATTAGTAATCAGACAATTTGGATTTTAGATTCAGTTCTGTAATTAACAGGCCGCATGACCTTGAGGAAATCACCCACTGAACTAGTTTCCTGATATACAAAATGAAAGGATCAAGCAAGAGGTTGGATGAAATTCCTTCCAGTTTTACAGATTTACATTTGCAGGATCTGTATGAAATGTTGGGCCCCTGTCAGTACATGACTTATAACAGACACTTCACAGTGGCATTGAACCAAACTGAGGTGAACATGAGGAAATCAAATAGAAAACACAGTTTTCCTCTGAGAAAGTCATGACCAAGCCTGTGCACACATGTAATGTTGGAAACAATCTTAATCACCCGCCTCTCTCTCTGTCTCTCTCTCTGTATGATATATAATGTATATAATCTCTCTATAATATATATAATCTTATATAATTTTAAATATTCTTTTTACATAGAAATAAAAACTATATATTTTATATATTATATATAAAATATAGTAATATGTTATTTAATATACATTTATTAAAATATATTAATATATGTTTTATATAAGAATAAATAATATGTCAGGAGCAGTGGCTCACGCCTGTAATCCCAGCACTTTGGGAGGCTGATGGGGGTGGATCACAAAGTCAGGAGTTCCAGGCCAGCCTGGCCAATGTGGTGAAACCCTGTATCTACTAAAAGTACAAAAATTAGCCAGGTGTGGTGGCGCATGCCTGTAATCCCAGCTACCTGGGAGGCTGAGGCAGGAGAATTGCTTGAGCCGGGGAGGCAGATGTTGCTGTGAGCCAAGGTCATGCCATTGAACTCCAGCCTGGGCAACAAAAGCGAAACTCTGTCTCAAAAAATAAATAAATAGTCGCCGTGCTGCGCAGCTCCCTAAGCGGTTGCCACCAAAAGAGACGGTTGGGGGAACCGTTGTGGCCGGCGCTACACGAGGCAAACGACTTTTCCCTCCTCTCGACTGGACCCCGTGAGCACCAGAGCCGGCGTAACTATCGCCTGACAGGGTAACTGAAGTAAAAGGGGCATTTAAATCAAACGGTATTGAGATGGATTGGGTTATGAAACATAATGGTCCAAATGACGCTAGAGATGGGACAGTACGACTTCGTGGACTACCATTTGGTTGCAGCAAAGAGGAAATAGTTCAGTTCTTTCAAGGGTTGGAAATCGTGCCAAATGGGATAACATTGATGATGGACTACCAGGGGAGAAGCACAGGGGAGGCCTTCGTGCAGTTTGCTTCAAAGGAGATAACAGAAAATGCTCTGGGGAAACACAAGGAAAGAATAGGGCACAGGTATATTGAGATCTTCAGAAGTAGCAGGAGTGAAATCGAAGGATTTTATGATCCAACAAAAAGATTGCTGGGACAGCGACCGGGACCATATGATAGACCAATAGGAGAAAGAGGGGGTTATTATGGAGCTGGGTGTGGAAGTTATGGAGGTTTCGATGACTATGGTGGCTATAATAATTATGGCTATGGGAATGATGGCTTTGATGACAGAATGAGAGATGGAAGAGGTATGGGAGGGCATGGCTATGGTGGAGCTGGTGATGCAAGTTCAGGTTTTCATGGTGGTCATTTCGTACATATGAGAGGGTTGCCTTTTCGTGCAACTGAAAATGACATTGCTAATTTCTTCTCACCATTAAATCCAATACGAGTTCATATTGATATTGGAGCTGATGGCAGAGCCACAGGAGAAGCAGATGTAGAGTTTGTGACACATGAAGATGCAGTAGCTGCCATGTCTAAAGATAAAAATAACATGCAACATCAATACATTGAACTCTTCTTGAATTCTACTCCTGCAGGTGGCTCTGGCATGGGAGGTTCTGGAATGGGAGGCTATGGAAGAGATGGAATGGATAATCAGGGAGGTTATGGATCACTTGGAATAATGGGAATGGGGAACAATTACAGTGGAGGATATGGTACTCCTGATGGCTTGGGTGGTTATGCCCGTGGTGGTGGAGGCAGTGGAGGTTACTATGGGCAAGGTGGCATGAGTGGAGGTGGATGGCGTGGGATGTACTGAAAGCATAACCACCAACATACAAGTATTGACAACAGCATCTGGTCTACTAGACTTTCTTACAGATTTAATTTCTTTTGTATTTTAAGAACTTTATAATGACTGAAGGAATGTGTTTTCACAATATTATTTGGTAAAGCAACAGATTGTGATGGGAAAATCTGTTTTCTGTAGGTTTATTTGTTGCATACTTTGACTTAAAAATAAATTTTTATATTCAAACCACTGATGTTGATACTTTTTATATACTAGTTACTCCTAAAGATGTGCTGCCTTCATAAGATTTGGGTTGATGTATTTTACTGTTAGTTCTACAAGAAGTAGTGTGGTGTACTTTTAGAAGATAATGGTTCACCTCTGCCTAAACTGCAAGTCTTAAGCCGATATCTGGAATAGAGCTTGACAAAATAATTAGTGTAACTTTTCTTTAATTCCTCCTGGACAACACTGTAAATATAAAGCCTAAAGATGAAGAAACTTCAGGAGTATAAATTCAGCTAATTATTTCTATATTATTTTTAGACTGTCATTTATCAGGCATAGCTCTGAAATGTTAATGATCTAAGAGGTATTGATTTCTGAATATTCATGATTGATTGTGTTACCTGGGTATGGGAGTGTTGGAAGCTTGAATTCTAACCCTAGATTTTGAAGTAAAATCCCTTCAGCACTTGACCAGAATACCAAAAATATCACCAAATAAGTGATAATTGCAAGTTATCTCGAGATGTCTTAGAGTAGGGTTAAGGTTCTCAGTAACACAATTCAGTGTAAGTACTTGGCTATTTACCATGGAGTACAATTCTCACAAATGTATTTTCAGTTTTCTCCCCAATAGAACATATGGTTTTTAAATAACTATATAAATAAATGATGACTTTTTTAAAAAAATGTAAGCAACAAGTCCATGTCATAGTCAATTAAAACAATCCTGCAGTTGGGTTTTGTATCTGATACCTGCTTGAAGCTTTAAAGAATATATGTAGCAAGGAAAAGGTGCTTTTTAATTTTAATCCCTTTGATCAATATGGCTTTTTTCCAAATTGGCTAATGAATCAAAATGAAACCTGTAGATGTAAATCAGTTATTGAACTTGTTACTTGTTTTTGCCAGAAATGTTATTAATGTAATAAATGTCAATGTGGGAGATAATAAAAATAAATAAATAAATAAGATAAAAATATATATTTGTTTATATATAAAATATATTATTTTTATAAATAAATAAATGTAAATATTTATTTATTAAATATCAGTTAAAATTTTTTTAAATTTGTTTTATTTTCCTCAGTTGTAACTGGGTGCATGCTCATGGTAAAAAGAAGAATTTGAGACTCAAGAATAGAACAATTTTCCTAGAAGCTTCGTTGACTAAAGATTTTGCCCTCAAAATTCCTGAATCCCAGAGAATAGAGTTAATCCTCCCTGTACTTGAAAAAAGTAATACAAAGCCATTCATTAAGAGAATCTTTGTAATAGCTAAGCTTATTAAAAATGGGCTGTATCAGTCAGAGTTGCTCAAAGAAGCAGAACCAAGAAAGTGAGACACAATTGCGGAGCTGATGTCTTAGCACGTTCGGCTGCTGAAGAAAATATCATGGACCACAGAGCTTCGAAAAAATGCTGGTTTATTTGGCAGATTTTTAACCAGATAAAATTAACCTGCCCCTTTGCAAGAAAGATAAAATTAGTCAATTAAGATGTGGAGAAAATGTAATTTTCTGGTTAGTCAAATCCAAAGGCATGAGCTGAAGATACTGTAAACTTCAGGTCTGCTCTTGGCGTTTGAACTGTGTGCTGCCTCTCTGTGGAAGTGCTTCAGAATTTTATTGTTACTCTTATTGCTTGTGCCAAATACTGGTGTGATAGTTCTTATATGGGTCATAACCATCATTTTAAAACTTCCTATTTTTATTTTTGCTTTTATTCTTTTGAGACAGGGTTTCTCTCTGTCGCCCAGGCTAGAGTGCAGTGGTGCACTCACGGCTCATTGCAGCCTTGACCTCCTGGTCTCAAGTAATCCTCCTGCCTCCGCTTCTGCAGGGATTGCAGGCATGTACCACCACACCTAGCTAATTTTTTTTTCTTTTTTCTTTTTTCCTTCTTCTTTTTTTTTTTTTGAGATACAAGGTTTTGCAATGTTGCACAGGTTGGTCTAAAACTCCTGGGCCCAAGGGATCCACTGGCCTTGGCCTCTCAAACCGCTGGAATTACAGGCATGAGCCACTGTGCCCAGCCAAAACTCCAATTCCAGACTCAGTGCATATCAGCTTGCCTGCCTCACTACCCTGTGAGTCCTTGAAGAAAAGCGTCTGGAAAAGCCAGCTCAGAGAATGGCATATAAAAGCTATTCGTGCCTATGTGCAGAATTGAACTGAATTTCTATATCATCACATACAGATGGAATGTAAAGACTAAAGAACAAACTAAAATCAATTAAAAATCATTTATTAGGCCAGGCGCGGTGGCTCATGCCTCTAATCCCAGCACTTTGGGAGGCCGAGGCGGGTGGATCACGAGGTCAAGAGATAGAGACCATCCTGGTCAACAAGGTAAAACCCCATCTCTACTAAAAATACAAAAATTAGCTGGGCACTGTGGTGCACGCCTGTAGTCCCAACTACTCGAGAGGCTGAGGCAGGAGAATTGCTTGAACCCAGAAGGCGGAGGTTGCGGTGAGCCGAGATGGTGCCATTGCACTCCAGTCTGGGTAACAACAGCGAAACTCCATCTCAAAAAAAAAAATAATAATAATTTATTAGATCTGTCATCTGAAAGCATTGTAGAAAGAACTAAAGTATACATTTTAAAAACTGTTGTTTGCATTTTTTTTTTTTTTTGATACAGTGTTACTCTGTCGCACAGGCTAAGGGGCAGTGGCATGATCTCAGCTTACTGCAACCTCCACCTCCTGAGTTCAAGTGCTTCTCCTGCCTCAGCCTCCTGAGTAGCTAGGATTACATGTACATGCCACCACGCCTGACTAATTTTTGTATTTTTAGTAGAGAGGGGGTTTCACCATGTTGGTCAGGCTAGTCTCAAACTCCTGACCTCATGATCCGCCCACCTCAGCCTCCCAAAGTGCTGGGATTACAGGCATGAGCCACCGCACCTGGCCTGCACTTCTATTTTTAACATGAATCATCGTTATAATGAAAGTCTTTTGCCTTCTTCAGAAGTATGAATAACAGCTGCTAAATTTTTCCATCAATATTTTCACATTGCAGCAAAAGCAGCAGGATCAGGGGGTTTGTTTCACACAAAAATGTCTTTCACTATATCTGCTAACCAAATCTACCCATGAATTTGTTAGCGAGTATTTCCTGTTGTGGATATCACCTTTTGTTTGGTCTTTAACCATCTTCTTCATTCACCTGAAGGTGTCTACGAGGGCAGACCAGGGGTTTGCAGGAGGCGAGGTGCTCAGAGAAATGGACAGGAAAAATCCCACTTATTCAGATGCATGCGGGGCCGGTTTACCACACTGTGAAAATGGTACATCATAGTGGTTAAAAGCCCTGGCTTTGGAATCAGGAAGATTTGAGTTTGAATCCCGGCTCTGCCACTCACATGATGTGAGCTGGGTGAGTTACTGAACCTCTCTGAATCCCATCTGCAATATCAATAGCATATCTACATTTACCTCTCAGGCCTGGTGAAAGATTAAATGAGATGGATATAGAGCATTTAGCATCCTACTAAAAAAGGGTTTAATAAAATATGACTGTTATTAAATAATTAAGGGAAACGTCTGAATTGTGAAATTTTTATTATAGATTTGTTACTTTTATATACATTTAATAACTTAAGTATACATGATGACCAATATAATTTTTAACATAATTATCAATAGATGTTTCTGGAAACCTGGAGAAAGGAAGAAGTAATTATTTAGCTGAATAACCTGATATTAATATAGCCTAGTAAAGGAGTTGAAAGAATCATCTTAAATGATTTAGGTAAAAAATGACTTAAATTTGCATGTTGTTTCTGTGTTAGCTAGAGCTTGAAAGTACTGGAAAACAAATATTTTCCTGTTTTATTTACAATTTCCTTTTCACTATAAAAATTTTATGAACACTCATTTCATTAGAGATAATACAAAATTAAATTCTAACCAGTACCAGTGTGAATGACACAAGATTTAAAACAAGCAGAATCCGAGTTGCTGTAGTTTTTCTCCTTATGTGCGTTCGTGTGTGTGTGGCTTGACATTTATACCCAGCCCACCCAGGGACCAAAACAAAGTGCTCACAGGAGAACCAAGCATCTTGGGGTCAGTCACTTTTAATCAAATTAACGTCGACTTAACAGAGCAAAACCTTCTCTACTGGGTAAAAGCTGTTGGGCCTGTGGGCTACTTGATTTAGAAACATTTTTCAACCTTTTTGCAACCGTAGTATAGAATTACGTTTTCATCCCCCTCCGGTTAATTCTGAGCATATCTTTGGGTAAAGCGCTTATTCTCATGAAGTAGTACCCTAGAGAAAATATCTCCTATTTGGGGTTCAGGAAATAGATCTTTTTCAAAATTCTGGGTTATCACTGAGTACAGACTGCAGGAGAGAAATGACACGACCCCACGCCGTTTGCTTCCTTCAACCTTGGCTATGGCTCCTCCTTCTGATGAAGTCAGTAATTAGGAATCCAAGTCAGCGCCAAGTTCAGTATTCAGCGCAGAGTTCAGTATTTATGAGGGTTTGGGCAGGCAGTGGCATGGAGTGCCCAGGGATTCCAACATATTCTCTTGACTGAGACACTTTGAGGGAGCCTGACTGGCTAACAGAGAACAGCCCTGACCTTTCAACCCGATGAATTCAGATACAATTTGTCATCTAGTGTAAAACGAATTTGACCATGTGTAATCCCACATGATGGAGAGGCCTTGTCCCAGAAAAACTCTGGAACATGAAAGAGGAGCATTGAAAAATAAAACCCACCAAATGGTTAAGGGCACACATCGATATGCCAATAACAAATTCCTTTCTCCAAAATAACGAACAGCCCTGTGATTCCTTGGGCAGGGTGGACACCAGGGACACACACAGGGGTCCAAGTGGGGAGTTGCTGCTGTTCTTTTCTCTCCATCGAATTTGAAATAGGTTTTTATATTTGCTTTTCACTCTCTCCTTTTTATCGTTTAAAATTAAGCCATCCTGTGATGATAATTGTGTTCTACTTCTCTTTGTGACCACCAAAGAAGAAAGGTTGAATTGTTATCGTCT